GCCCCCCCCCCCCCCGGGGGCTCCGCCGACGGCGGCGGCTGAGGCGGCGCTGCTGCCACTACGCCTCGGAGAAGAAACAGAAGCAACACCAGCAGGCGCTGTCAACGGAAGCCGCAAGCCCCAACTGCTCTGATCGGCATTGCTCGAGGATGTCATCGCTATCGAGCACCTCCTGCTTGACTTGCTGCTGCTACCACCGCTGTGGCCCGGCCTGGCGGCGCACTTGGCGAAGTCAAGGCCGAACACATAGTCGTCGTGGGTCTGCCTCCCACGGTCGTCAACGGATCTATCCGTCAGCACCTCTCCCAGGTAACACGCCACAAACGAACCCGCGGGGATGGGCTCCACGCAGCGCAGGCCCCACCCTTTGCCGGGCTCCGCGCATCGGAATACCTGCGGAGGGGACGGAAGGCTGGTTAGCTTCTCTGCGGCAACGCAAACGATGGCAAGATGATCGAATTTCTTAGGAAATATACGAACCATGAAAGGAAGACTGCTCGTTCGAGACATAACCACAGCCGAAGGGGATGCGCTACAAAACGTACATACAAAGAGGGAAAGACTACTCGTTCGAGATATAACAACAGCCTAAGGGGATGGGATAGAAAATGTACATACAATGAAAGAGGGACTACTCCCGTCCGAGGTATAACCACAGTCGAAGGGGATGGGTTGAAGTCCTTTACGGCGAGTGGGAGAATTGGGATGTTCTCGCTTTCGTTCACGACAAGCGTGCTACAGGCGAGAGCGGGACATGCAAGACGCACACAGGGCAGGGCGGCGGGTGTGGGGCAGACTCGCGGCAGGTGTAGGGAGAGCACCAAGCTAGCCAGAGGGGGGCGAGAGCAAGTGAGCGGATGAGGGAGCCGGCCACACCGCCTTTTAGATGTAGGTATAAAATGATCTGCAATGGTACCTAGACGGTTACGCCGCTTCATAGCGAAAGGCAGGGCGAGAAGCGAGGGGGGGGCGACGGAGATGGTCACACTGCGGTTCGGCCGTAGACAGAAGCGGGGTGCAATATTAGCACCTCACACCGCTTCTGACGGAAGACGAGCGTGGGCTGTAACGGTACCTGGAGGGGCAAATGCACGCCACGGGACACGACACGATTCTTGCACCTCCGTGGGTTGCACGCACACCTGAAGAACGGCACACGACGAAACGTAACATCACCAAACACGAAGTAGCAAAAAACAAAAAACATGACACACATAATAAGAAACAAGCAGAAAAAATAACACAAAAACATGACAAAAAACATCAGCGGCGAGGCAGCGTGCACGCAACACAAAGTAAGCAGTTCACAGAGGAGGAGGCTTGCTGCAAAATCGGCGACGAGAAGGGGCATATCATCATCATCGTGAACACGGCGTCCTTGCACCAGGCGGGGCCCAAGCTCGTGCAACATCCATGATCGATCGAGGGGAAGCAAGTCTTGAAAGGTGCTTCGCTCATTGAGCTGCTTCTACCCAGATCAAGTCTGTCGGTCATGCGGTTCACAACAGGCATCACATTAATATCACCCGCACTAGGCGACACGCGTGGTGAGGGAACAAACAAAACGTTGTACACGGTTGTGCCCCACGTTCCCCCATCGCTCCACGTTCAGAACGGACCCAAAACACAAACAAAACAGCTCGCAAGCATAACAAGCATCGCAAGCAAAGTAAGCAAAGTAAGCAAAGTAAGCAGAGCGAACAGACAGGGCAAACAGACAGGGCAAACAGACCCCGATTCACTAGCCTCGACGGCCACCAGCTCACCCCGCGTGGCACTCGAAGATCGCGTCCGGGAGATGAAGAAGCAGGCCGTCATCGTTGTAATACCGTCGCCGACCGGGCTTCTCTTCCTCGACCGACGTCTCCGCCGCCGCACCGCCCCCGCCGCCCCCGCCGCCGCCGGTGCCGCCGATGTCGGCTAAGTACACCGATCCCGCCTTCCCCGCTCGCAGCCGTAGGCAGGCGCAGAGGTTGGGGTCTCTGCAACCGTCCGTGCAGTCGCAACACACCTGAAACCGAACCATTGAAAAAAACAAAAATTAGGAGGAGATCTGGCCACGCTTGTGCAGCAGCGCGGGCCCAGTGGACAGTGACGGAGTCTTTTTTGTCGGGTTTGTGCACCCGTTCGGGCCTAGTGGTGGAACGACAGGAGTGCGGTGTGTTGTATAAGATGAACCGGCGTCACAAGTGGTTCATGGTCGAACGGTTGAACCGCTTACCGATGGGGTTCTAGTTGCTGGAGTTTCGGGAAGGACGGCCCTGCTTTCGATGATCTACGACTGCTGCCAGGGGTAGCACCATCGGAGAAAGTTTGACATGTTTGACATCTTCATCGAATCGAGTTGACCAATACCCTTCACACAGCGTGGTTCGCGTGTTTCCGATCACTCTTCTCTCGAAACTCTCCCATCCCGCACTGCTTAACCATGTTCGTGTACTGATGCCGCCGGAAGGCGCGCTCACCGATCTTGAACAACTGGACCCACTACCCACCGTTTACATAGCAACTCACGCACTAAAATGCCTCCTGATGGGCCAGGCTGGACGAATCGGGCAGCCTCTCTCTCTCTCTCTCACCATATCATCTGGATCCTTCTTCTGATGGACGTCTCCCCCCATGACGTAACCGGTCACGTACCGGAAAAACGGAAGCTTTTCTTCATCTTCATCGTTGCACACCTGCATCCGATGGGACCACAGATAACACCCCCCCCCACCAGAACATCGTTGCAAGGAGGTAAGCACAAGATGCCGAACACCCTTAGCATGATGCAGCGCACCCTCCATGCGACTCGCCGAATACCTCACGGCGCTTCGCCTCAGGTAATGTGAGAGCCTGGTCCGGTGAGAACCTGGCGTGCTCCGTCCCGGCTTTGTAGTGATGCGATGTCAATGGTCAAACGACCACGGCATGCACGACTACGAGCACCCCCCACACACACGCCAGATCATTTATCGAGGGTGTTGAGTCTCTGCCTCCAGTGCTGGTGATACAAGAGTCGGGGCTTGTCCTCGAATTTGCTAGCGGATGACTTCCCCTTGAAAGCACCAAGTTACAGGTTTCATTCGACGAGTGACGGTGCCAGACTGCCGTGTAACATACCGAAACCGTCGAACTGCGCAACAGGCTTTTTCGTTCCGATGATCTGGGGTCCCCGACTCAGGGGAGACCCGTTAGGATTACTCGCTTTCTCGGAGAGTTCATACGCGTATAGGGGAAGGTGCGCTATGTAGACAGGGCGTCAACAGGAGAACTACACTGTAGTACCGCAAGTGACACATGATACCACACCTCCCGGACCGATTTTCTTAGCTCGATTACTCCACGAAGAGGATGCACGAATGATGTGAACCGTTTCGGAAGTTCCCGACGAGATGGTTCCAACGCCTAAATTTTCGGCAACATATTCCCATGGAAAACTTGGCTCTCCCTCAAGTTCACGGCAGTTACGGGTGGTTGCCAGCGAGCTAGCCCGCCTCCTCGACCTCAACCCCAGTAGTGGGTTTGGGTTTGCGGCGGGTATTCGGGGTGCCGTAGGTACGCCAGAGGTGGCACCCCCCCAGAGGTTTCAAGGCTCGATTGCTCCAATTCACACTTGTACCAACACCAAAAAAAAAAAAAAAATGTGGTTTTGGCAACGTCTCGTCGTATCCTTTTCGTAGAGACGTATCGGGCTCTCTCCGCACCCACTCGATTGTGGAGCAGTCGAGCTTTTAGGGAGGGTTACATCTCTCGCATCCTTGCGGTATTGTGTTCTGTGAGTGACCGCCAAATGGACAAACCTGAATCTTGACGTTCTCAAGCCCGCGAGAGAGGTCGTTAATCAACTGCCGCCTGTCCCACTTGAATACACCATCCTCGGCGCTGCCTCCCCCAGCCGTGTTCCTCTTCCCCTCCCGACCCCTCCTCCGCCTACGGCTATAGCCGCCGTCACTGCAGGTGTTGTTGTCGTCGCTGTCGCTGGAGTCCGTGCTCATCCCCCCTACGGCACTTCCTTCTCCATCCTCTTGCTCATCCGGTGGGTTGTTCTTCCAGGAATGGACGTAGCCACCGCCGCCGCCGCGGGTCCCTCCTAAGCCCGCCCGACCGCTGCCGCCTCCACGAGGTGGGGAGTAAGGAACGTCCAATAGGGTTGCGCCTTTGCCGGGGCCCCCGGGAGGGGGAGCTATGGCGAGCGGAGCCCCGCCCACCACTGGCGCCACCCCGCTGCTGCCGTTGCCATGCTGGCCATTCCCACCCTTGCCGGTGCCGCCCATTCCGTCCTCACCCCCATCCAAGTCTGGAAACCCCTCGAAGGCACAGCTTTCGTCTCCGGACTCAAACGCCCGGCACCGCCGGCGACTAGCGGCCAGTTGTTGCGCCCCCCCGCCGGACCCCGTAGGCCGCGGCTGCTGCCTTCGACGCTGCTGCTGTCGTCGACAGGGAGGGGGCAAGGGGTGGGCCGATTCCGTCGATGATGATGATGCTGCCTTCTTGGGCCTTGGCTTGGAAGCAGCAGCACGGGTACCATCGGTAGCGCCGCTTTTTTCGACACCAGACTCCGCTTTAGAATCCTTGCCGGCACTCCCCCATCCTCCTCCTCCTCCTCCTCCTCCTCCTCCTCCTCCTCCTCGACACTTCGGAACCTGCATGATGAGGCTGGTGAGAACGCTCTTGCTGTTGTGCTCGTAGCCCGGGATGCGCCTCCTGAGCTGCTCCATGGGCCCGTCGTCGCAGATCCAGCACTTGAACTTGTGGCTGCTGTGAACTCTCTGCAAACACGTATGTACACGCGGGGTCCAAGTTGTGGCCCATAGGTAGAAGCGTTCCCGTTTTTAACCGTACCGAGATTGGCGTCTTTTTTTATTGGTGAGCCGGTCAGCGCGGTCAATGACAATACACACATATTTAGAAGCATATTCTGTATTCAGCCGCAGTGAAACTGGCGTCTTCTCATTGGCCAGCCGGTTGGCGTGGTCGATGCAACAATTAAGACACACACACACGCACTGAGACTGACGTATTTCCACTGGTGAGCCTCGTAGCGCCGTCGACGCTAGCAAAACAGAAACACACGCACACACACACGCACTCCCCCGGCCTGCTCCCCGGCCGGGGCCGAAATCGACCTAGTGAGTCCCTCGCGGGCGAACCAGGCCACAACAGATAGTAGGCGGGTGATGTCCCAAGGTGCAACTCACCGCCGCGCTGGCTCAGCGTGGCGGTGAGGATGCACAGACGGTGGTAGTGGCGAGAGATGTGTATGGACACTGTTCCCGCGGCAGTAATGCAAAGCGGCAAGCTGCACCTGGCAACCACCGTCGCGGAAAGCGTGGCCCACGAAGCTGGAGGAGTAGAGAGATCAGTAAACACCACGTCAGCAAGCACCGCCGCGGGAGAAGGGAGACAACCGCGGGCACCGCGGGGAGGGAGTGCTGCACCCTCCTCGTCAAAACACCACAGGCAAGAACCGAGCTCTGCAGAGATGGATTGATGCGAGG